ATTATTGTTTAGTAGTAGTAGTAGTAGTAGTAGTAGTAGTAGTAGTAGTAGTAGTAGTAGAAGTAGTAGTAGTAGTAGTAGTAGTAGTAGTAGTAGTGGTGTGGTGGCGCCCGCACCTCCATAGGCATCAGTGAATTGTGCCCGAGTACATAAGAAAGTTGGACAGCACTGGTCTACGGTGTATTTCTTGGATATAACCTCAGCGTTTCCCTCCTTCGCACTTCATATAACTGTCTACTTACGTATAACGTTTCATGCTTATTGTTTAAACATGTTTACGATCTAACCATTATGTATCAAACATTAAAGGTACGGTAAAGTAGTCCCTGTGCTTAATTAAGTAAGCACTGTGCCATGAAGATAGGAGGAATGAGACTGGGTGAGCCCTAGAGCCGGTCCGGACGCTGTGAAGAACAGAAAAATCTTGCCCCTGCCGAGACTTGAACCCCAGCCCGTCCAGCCCTTATCCCGTCTCTGTACCGACTGAGCTAACATTATTGTGTGGATACGATTACGATCTGGAAAGCTGGGATAGCGCAGTCGATATAGCGACGGGCAGCGAGCTGGATCGCCAGGGTTCGATTTCCGACAGGGGCAAGAGATTTTCCTCTATTCCATAGTGTCCACACCGATTCTGTAATTCACCCAGCCTCCTATACAAATGGTACCGGTGGCTTTTCCTCGGGGTTATAGTGACCGGAGCGTGAAGCCGACCACTCGCCTCCGTCTAGTGCCGAGGTCGAGAATGGTGGAGCTGTACCTCCAATTCCCCATACTTATTCATACCGTTGTGCTTAACTAAACACAGGAACAGCTTTGCCCTTATTTTTTTGTGTTTTCGATCTGTGTCCAGACCAAGATTCAGATGGCTGGCTCCATCAAACCGAAACCTAGAGATAGATTTCACGCTGTCGCTGCGTTATTTTACATTCTACGGTACTTATCCTCTCGACAGTTCTGTATTTTTCGAAGAACTTGCCCTACATTATTTCAGTGTCGTAAGTAGCGCTAGTGTCGTTTCAATTTTACAAGTTCGTGCGTCCATTAGTGATTACAGGAAATTAAAAGGTTCGGTGTTGGGGTATCCTGTAATGGCGCAACTTTCATACAAACTTCGATGCAAATGGGTCAAGTGGTTCAGAAGTTGAAGTGAGGGGTTACAGGCACACGCACGCGCGCGCGCGCACACACACACACACGCTCGCGTCTGTTTCTCTGAATGTAACATCCCGACAACCTCATAACGGATTTTCATGAAACTTGATTTTCGAGTGTTTTACTTTAGCCTTGAAAGCCCAATGGTTACTATATATACCACATGCTTTAATATACTAAAACTCTGCATCCTACCCACACAGTGTATGTGTTTTCCATATGGTTCTTATAATAAACAGCGACTGTTTCCCTAAACGACATTAACTGGTTGGTCTCTGTAGCCGAGAAATGTGTTTCCTGTGAGGTACGAACAGAATTCATATATATATATTAGAATAAATTCAGCCCTTGAAAGTACATTTATGGTGCTCGCAGCTGTGGCTCTGTATTCTGAGACATAGCATCGTGTAGTCCATTATAAGCAGAGCTCTGCTTGCTGCCTGTGTCTTGCTGCTTTATTGCGTAGCTCATTCCTTGAGCCTGAAACATGGAGATGATACGTTCCTCCGAAACGTCGGAGAACTTGTACGGAATTGTAGGGGTTGCATCCCAGAAGATGGTACTTCTCATTTCTTAATTCGAATAAACGTGTTTATACTGGTTTCTGCAGTAACAAGATGGAGAGGTCACGTTTGCCGACGGATGATGATGACACCCATATCTCATCTCTCAAGGGCTTGGTTAATGTTACAACAGTTAACTGGGGAGACTTGCTCTGTTAAATAAATTCGACTTGATGGTTACAAGTGCCGTACTTAATTAATGTTCGCTTGCGTTGTATTTTTATCTAATGTAAGCCACGACATTTTATCCACGAAAATAACCCTCTTTACCAGTGACGTGTTGCGGAGATACCAGGTTCATTTTTCGATACAGCTTCATATCACAGGATGACTGGCAAGACAATTAATTGTCAGAACAGGGTGCTGAGGAGAATATTTGGACCTAAGATGGAGGAAGTACCAGGGGGCTAGAGGGATACTGCGTAATGGGTTTCCGATTTTGTACTTGTGATATTACTAAGATTATGGAATCAAGGAGGGTGTGATGGACGAGGCATGTAGCAAGCATTGGAGAGAGTACAAAGTTATGGTAGGAATACTTGAAGGAAAAAGACCACTGGGAAGACATACGCATAAATAGGATAATATTAGAAGGGTCTTAAAGAAATGAAGGTAAGAGGCCACTGGAAAGACGTACGCATAAGTGAGAGGATAATATTAAAATGGATCTTAAAGAAATCGGATGGGGTAGGGTGTGGATTGGATTCTTCTATCTCAGAATAAGGGCCATGAACACATTCACTAACCTCCGGGTGCCGGAAAATGATGAAATATTCTTGACTGGCTAAGCAACTGATATCATATCAAGAACGACTGTGATGCCGTATAAAAGGGAGGTCATATATGTGTATCGGCCTTCCGGTCTGTATGATTCATCTGCGAAATTAAGAAAGGATTTCGAAGAGATTTGATATCTGGGGGTTTGTACTGAAAGCTACGGCGTTAACATTCCATAAAAATGGTTCATAAAAGAGAATGAATTGTGCATGCCATAAAATACAGATTCATTTTACACATTTTATTGATATGCATGTTTAACCTCCTCAAGCAGAGTGATAACTAATAAAAACCAGTTCTTGCAGAGTCAGAGGCAGAGAGTCAGAATTACTTTACGACTAGCGGATTACCGCCAATCAGTTCGTCTTGGTGCCAAACCCCTTGAGACCCACGACCAGTATTTTTTCCCCAAATGAAAGCCTACAGTTATAGCCCTTATGTAACATCCTCTCTCATGAGAGGATGGGTCTGTCGTTTACAATTGTTGCTGGTCCTCGGCAGCACAGTCATTCTTTGGTCCGAGTTCCGCGGAACTCATGTCCATATTTTAACCGTCTCAGATTCGAGACTTCCACAACCTGAGGGCCAGGTCTCAGTACTTATATCCCCTAAGAACAGGGTGGCCCAGTTATATCCCTAGGCACAGGGTTCCCTTTTCGTCGCCTTCTACGACTCGCACGGCTGTGGTGGAGGTTTCGGAACCCACCTCCACGCGGGGTAGTTCTGACAAGAACTAACTCCCTATTTTCCTTGATACGACACGGGCCGCATAGAAAACGACGCGTCAAACATTTATTCGATTGCGTGTGTATTCGTTGCCCCGGTGACGTTTTTACCGAACCGTTGCCAAGCAACGATATGATGGATACACATACAGTCACACAGACTGATGGAAGGGATTTAAGAAGTACGCCGTTGTGATGGGCTCACATACCAAGTTTCATAAAGATTGATTCAGGCATTCAGAAGTTGACAAGGAGAACACAACATGGTGGTCGCATAAACCTACTTTTGTATTTTTCAAAATAAGGCAGTTGGGATAAGAAAAATGCAACATTTTCCCCACGAAGTGCATTAGCTTTGTATGATTATGAGAAGGAACAGAGAATATTTCCCCGAACAGTATTAACCATTTGCTGTTTGTATACTTCATCTAATATGTGAACGAGGATACGTCATAGTAAATTATTGACGTAAATCATTACGTCATCATTCGATTGTTACTAGATTCTGTTTCAACATAGTTACGATATTCATATGTCGATGGGAAATTCAGACATACACAGGGATTCTTTCGCCGCATGGTTGCCTGTATGAGGTAAGACGTCTTGTTCGTAAGTACGTAGATGGACTTCGGGGGGTTCTGTTAAAGAAGCCCCGCGCGACCCCAGGTACCCATTGGTTAGGAGAATGGATGAACCTCAGAGCCAATCTGGATGATATGAATGAGAGAAGAATATGTCCTACCGGGAATCGAACCCAAATTCCGCAGTTGCTTCACATATCTCAGTGCCATATTTAACGATTTTGGAGGTACAACATACAGGCTGACGGCTAAAAATTAATCTTCCATTATTGCGTCGAAGCCGTAAATTTAATCTAAATATTTAAAAATTAGTTGTCCTTTCAGAGAATAATATCTGTCTGTGTATGGCTCTACATCCCTTTGTTGGACCTTGGCCGCTTTTTCAGTTTCTTCTAGAACGGGGGAGCAGCCCGTCGCAAGGCCGCTACTTACACACAGAACAGCACAAACACAGAATAAACGCACACACATATCTATGCCTCAAATGGGATTCGAACCCACGATCCCAGTGTTTCAGAGGGCGAAGACAATTCATGTGCTAGACCGCGCGGACACTGTGATCGGCTTTCAGAGAACACTCTGTGTCTCAGTTATATGTACACTCAGTTAATGCTGTTTAGATAAATAAGTGTTTTCTATTCTGACAATCATGCGAACTGTAAATACAGCCTGAAGAGAAAAATGCAGGTTTTTAGCCAACTTCCCTTATTAAAAAAAAAGTAGGCTTGTGCTACCATCGTTCTGTGCATCCCCCTTATCAACTTTGAATGCCTCAACCAATGTTTATTAAACTTGTTATTCATATCATGGGAACTGAATACCTCCAAACAGTCTGTGTGTCTGTATGTGTATCCCTCCTATCGTTGCTAGGCAACGGCTCGGTAAAAACATTATCGCGGCAACGAATACACACGCAACAATAAAAAAATTGTTTGACGCGTCTTTTCTTTTTGTGCGGTCCGTGTGGTATCAGAGTTCTTCCAGAACTTCTTTGTTTTAATGTTAACATGTGAGATATACGTGTATAGGTACCACTGTACTTGAAAGGGTTAAGCGCTCTTTTTATGTACTTGGTGAAATTAATACTCTAAAAGTAATGCAATATATAGCTTAAATATGTAAGCAGAAAATGTTCATTAAACAATAAGGTTACGAAGCCAAATACAGTTAAACGGACTCTTTTAATATTTTGTACTTACATGTTCAGAATTTTCGATGGGATGTGTGTGTGAGACTCTTGTCAGGAGAACCAGTAAACAACAACAAATGAAAACGGAAGTAAGTCTGCACCACGCACTGTGCAATTTCATAATTGAGTTACGAAGTAGCTTTGTTGATTGTATATTTTTTAATGCTACAAGTATTAATGTATTTACAGTACGACTTTTAAGACTAATATCCAAACCAGTAAATACATAAATGTATAAATTTTGGCCCGGAGTAATAAATATTTTTTGTATCTGAGTTTGTATATTTTGCCAAGTCTTGCCTATGTCGAGTACAGCTGTCTAGCCGTGCTGTCACAACCAGCTCCGAGATTGTCGCGACACTAATAAGCTTAGTAGCGAACAGTCCACGTGGCCTTATATACATGCACAGTGCCTCTATTTCGTAACTCGCTTACTCACGCACTCTAGTTCCTATTATCGATGGCAAAAACATGGACTCTTACGCTTTTTTTTTTTTTGGTTGAGGGAATAGCAGTTTGATTTGGCGAGGAAAGTGTCTTCAGGTAGCTTAATATTGCCACAGCTACATAAGCGAGGTGTCGGGCATTGATTCCTCTTAGGGTAAGAGATTTTTATCTTCTTCACAGCGTCCAGACTGGCTCTGGAACTTACCTATCCTCCTATCCAGTTGTTACAGAGGACTCTTTCCCCGGGGATAAAGCGGGCGGGGCGTGAAGCTGACTACTCGCCTCCATCTGGTACTGAAGTTAAGAATGCATGGAGCCATACCTAAGCTTCCTCGTACATTTTGATGGCGTGGTGCTTAATTAAGCATACGGAGAGCTTAACTTGTAGAGTTGAGATCTTATCTATTTGAAGAAGAGTCCTGGAGAAGCTAATAGTTGCTCATTTGTATGTCCTGCACGGGCGGCTGTGACGAGGACCTGTGTGCGCGAAACTGACGAATCTCCACTGTTAGAAACCATTACTGGGAAACGGCTGGAGAAGACTTAGCGGGTGCCGCTGTGAATGCATATAGTTACAAATGGTGTTTGAGAGTGGTCAGTAAATCCATACCCGGTCTATAGGTACACATAAATCGTGGCAATAGCAATACTGGAAAATTATATCTGATTCCTGTGTCCATTGCTTACTGTTCGTTAACATAGTTTTAGCAGCAGATTTTTTTATTGCCAGTGGGATGGGACTAAGTCCCTTGTACTGCTGCCACTTCTGGCCTATTGTACCAGCCCCAGATGATAGGTGAGGGTGATTGTGGACCAATTGGTGGAGTGAAGATTGGCAAGGGAAACCGAAGTACTCGGGAAAAACCTGCCCCAGCGCCACTTTGTCCACCATAAATCTCACTTGACCAGACCCGGGATCGAACCCGGGCTGCCGCGGTGGGAAGCCAGCGACTAACCGCTTGAGCTATGGCGTGGCCAGCACCAGAGGTTACTGAGGTGTGTGACGTTAATTATTACTGCAAATAATAGTTTTGCGTCTGCAGTAAATGAAATTCATGATTGATCGGACATTAATCTCAGAGAACGCATTTGGAAACTTATTGTTTGGCCTCCAAAATGTACTCCGTCTTTCCCCTGTTATTAGTTACACTGTTTGTGCCTTTGACATCGGTCGAACCAACAGCTGTGACTTTATGTAGAAACCCCATATATAAATGTAACACTTTATTTTGAGAGAAGAACAAAATTTTGTTAGGGGGTTCCCAGGCTTCACCCGCGCCTCCGTCCGATAAGGGCAATGTGGAAGGGAAGACGTTAGGATGGTCAGAAGTACTGGCTTGAGATAAGGGCCGTGAGATTTTGGTTCTCTGAATTAATGCTGTGACTTGCATAAGTTAGAAAAGTAATTTAGTGCCTTTTACAGCAGAGGAGGCAGAATTTTGATTAATTTAAATCGGGAGGGCTGTATGAGAATCACGCAGTAGCAACTTGGGATTTGGGAACCATCTCAGCGTTTGCTTGAAAGCAAAAGAACCCCTGTGACAAGATGACCGGTCTCTGGACCTTCCGCATACATACTGAATTCTAACCAGTATGTTCTGTCGGTTTCTGTTTCCAACCGCGGACCTCATAGAGGACACTCAAAGATAATATGACATATACCCCGTACTCTTGACTTGCCAGTACGTATTGTAGCCACGGCTATTAAAGCGATGTGCAAGTATTTCGGTAGAATTTTTGCATCCGATTGGTTAAAAAAGGTAAAACTGTCCCTCTAATAGGCCGTGGAGGTCCATAGGGTTGTGAGACTTGGAGGATACAATATTTTCTAGACACTCGGCTCACACAAGGAGGTGAGATTGTCAGCCTTACGCGCCGGCAGGCCGCCCTTTACTCCCAGGAAGATTCCTGGTACTCATTTCTGTTAGGGGCTGAGTCGACCCCAGGGCCATAGTGCGGCTGGAAGGATTATTATTATTATTATTATTATTATTAGGAGGGAAGGGGGTGGGTTTCCCCATGCACCGCGACCAATAGTCTATTGTACATCCGCCTTTGATATTCTACCAGTTGCCATACCCTACCGGTACTGGTGCGTGGTATCAGCCCCCTTCAGCCAACGAGGTCGGCCCTCGGTACCCGATGCTTCCCCCATTTACCAGAGGCATTGGAAACTACTTGGGCCGGAAACTTGCCTAATTTTGCTCAGAGATCTCCTAGACACATGAGGATCTTTTACGTGCCATAAAGCTACGACACGGGACCCACGGCTTAAAGTCCCTCCCGGAGGACTTGTTCCCTGAATTTTTCCGCCCTTAAAAATTCCATGATATCCGCCGAGTTTGAACCCGCGTACCTTGAATCATGAGGTGGGAACGTTACCCCTAGACTACGGAGGCCGCTGGCTGGAAAGATTAGGTCAATTGAAAATTCAAATGACTCAATCGGGAATTGAATCCATGACCTTCCGACTTGTAACATAGTGCCTCAACCAACCATCCAATTGGAATCCTAATTCAGTTTCCTTTTTAGTGACATGAGTAGACTTTAGTTTCTTAATTTGGGTGTTATTCCTCTTTTTAAAAGGTTCCCGCCGGTTTGATGTGGGTAAGAAAGCAACATGCACTTCTGTTTGTATTGCGTGCATTTGCTGGCGTGTCCAGGATGAAACTGGAAAAAGCCGTATACGGCCGGTTGTAAGTCGTGTTAGTCGCCATTTACAAGCCGGTGAGTGACGCAGAGTTTTCAGGGAGTCTGGCGTGGCGATAGGCCAAGAGGCCGGGCGAGAAGTCAGATAACCAGAAGCTTCATAATTTGTACTGTTCAGCCAATATTGCTTAGAGGATTGAATGGGCAGGGCGTATAGCATGTGAAGAGGCGACATGCGAACACGACTTTAACCTGAATGAGAGATACCTGTTGGGAGACATAGACGTAGGTGGGAGGTAAGTTTAAGAAAAAGGTAAAATTGTCCCCCTGCTTAATTAATTAAGCCTCTAACAGAAATGAGTGCCAGGAATATTCCTGGGATTAAAGGGCGGCCTTTCATAAGGCTGACAACCTCAGCGCCATCTGTGAGCCGATTGTCTAGAAAACGTGGTAGCCTTGTCTCACAACCCCAAGGGCTTCCACGGCCCATTACAAGAATAGCTTCACCTTTCCACGCAATGAAGGCGTGTTGGGGACTGGAGGCATGGCTTCACCGTTCTTGACATCAGCACTAGATGGAGGTGAGTGGTCAGTCACGCCCCGGCCACTTTACTCACGAGGAAAGAATCGCTGGTAATCATTGGATAGGAGACTGATTGGGCCGCAGAGCCGGTCTGGACGCTGTGGAGTAGAGAAAAACCCCTTGTCCCAAGAATCGAACACCAGCTGTGGGCGTAAATGAGAAGATAACATTAAAATGTATGTTACGTTAATAGTATATAGGTGTGGACTGGGTTCATCTGGCTCAGGATAAGGTTCATTTGCGAGGCATTTCCTGACCCCTTGAGTGACTGTCAGCTTACCAAAAAGGACTGTGCCACGTGTACTAAGTTTGATAAACGTCTCTGTGCGGTACTGAGGACACAGATGGAGTCAGTAAGGATTTGGAAGGAAACAGCTGTGTCCTCTGTTGGGTCGTATCCTGATATTTGTATTCTGGGACTGAAGAAAATTACGAAATCCTGATTTCCCATCCCAGATTCCAACTCCGGTGGATGAAGCACCAGAGTGTGAAACCCCACCACTTACGTCCATCTGTTACCGAGCTCAACAATGACCGGGCTGGGGTGTTCTTCCTTGGGATCAAGTTCCCAACAGCTTAGTGGCCTACCAGATACATAGCGGGGGTCTGTCTCCCTGATGGTCAGACGGCTGGAACATGAAGCTGAAGGCCCTTCTGCATAATGCATTCTTTTACCTTCATGCCAACAGCAGTATACAGTTTCGTGTGGCCACGCTTTTAGATTTCGGAATTAATTATGCCTACATAATCAGTATTTCTCTCATTGTTACATTTCTTTCGAACTGTAAAAGATAAAATGGAATACGAGAGAATAGAAATTCCACAGATTACAGGATTTGTAGAACAGTACAGAGTAAACCGGAAGTAGTATGTTGGTAGGATGAGCTGTGACCGGATCTGGGAAAGAGAAAGAAGTTGAAATATCGGCAGGAATGAAAAGGAGGTTTGGGAAGGCCGTTGGAACGATAACAGGTATCATTAGACCCCATAAAGGAAAGGATGGTGCTGGAAAGTACAGTGTGAGTCTAAATTACTGTTGGGGTTTGCGTGGCCTGTAATTTTTACACCTGAAGCAACAAAATAAAACTGCTTACGGAATATGAAAGTGTAACCTCCACATTGGGGTAGTATTGTCCGAGAATTTGTTGTCGTGCATTTTCCTTAGCGTAGGGTTGGCCGTGATGGACCAATTCCGTGGCCTCCCTGCTCACCGGACATTACGCCGCTTCATTTCTTCCTGTGGGGATACGTTAAGGACATTGTTTGCAAGACCCCTGTGACCTCCCTCGATGAAATGAAGCTCAGAATTGTTGCAGCGATCGAAGCAGTTTCACCTCGAAAACTGGAGAACATTTGGAGGGAAATTGAATACCGCTTGGATATCTTACGTGCCGCGTTGAAGTTGTTTAGCATTTTGCAGTATTGATTTTACAGGTAATAAAACTTCTTGAGTTACACTTTCATATTCCGTAAGCAGTTTTGTTTTATTATTTCCAGTTGTAAAGACCACGGAAACCCCGAAAATGATTTAGAATCACTCTGTATTACGTGATTTATTGTCAATAAGTAACGGCTGATGTTTTGATTTACGATAGTACACTGAATGCCTTTTAAAAATATGAAGTGTCACACTGCGCAGACTCCCTCGCTACGTGACAAGTAGCCGAAGA